ACGTATGCACCCACTGAGCCACTCACTCAAGCACACGCCTGCACGCACGCACGCACGTACGCGCACACGCCCGCACGCACGAACTCAAACGCACACACGCACAACACGCACACACACAACACGCACGCACGCATGCACGCCACACGCACGCAATGTGATATATAGGGATATAGATATCCACGTGTTATCGCGGTACATATCCACAGCAGGACTTTAGGGATAGGACTTACCTTGAGTTTCTTGAGACCGCAGCGCCTGAGGGGAGATGTACACAATCGCGTTATTGTTCAAACGTATCTCAGTCAGATTGCTAGCGTCCATCAAGTCAAACCGTCTAATTTCTCAATGGAGCCTGTATCTTATAGCCAGATAGTCTGAAAACAAAGGGAGGACGGCAATTAGAATCGGAGCGCAGTGCGAACGCTCATGACACATGAAAGCGTAAAAGTCTGCATAGACGGATACAAAATATCTCAAGCCTGGCATAGGCGGAAGAAAACAGAAAACATACGCAAGCTAGGCATAGTTGGAAATCTGGCATGGAAATGCGGACAACGCCGTCTTCTCTTACGATCAAGGAATGGAGTCCTCCGATTCCAGCGAACGCGTCTGCGTGTATAATGGTCAGCTTTCCACGTTGAGCAGGCGTATCTGAAGGATGGTTAGCCGGCGAACGCTCCACCGGGTATCTGCTCAAAGCCGAAGTTTCTCATAAAGAACTCGTCGATCGTCGTCGGTCGTGGAATCCCAGCGATGATGTCAAACACTCTGCGAACCGTCTCCAGGTAGTAACTAACATCGCAGGAGATGTACGCGCCAAAACTAATCTCTGCGCAGGTGCAAGGATACAGCTGGAGGCGGAGGGGCAGTCGCCAGCTCTCGCGCCTCCGGCTAGCAGGATAACAGCGAAAATCGAAGAATACTCATGACTATCGATATGAAGGCGCTACGTTCGGCGGCGATCGGTTTAAATAGGTAATTCGTGTGAAGCGGGACAGCTGCTGCTTGTTCCGCGTTGCAATTATGGCCCCCTATCTAATTTCACTTGAATGTGTCAACGGAGTCAACGCGTGTCATATAAAACGATATTTCAAATAAGTGATAAGCACTGCGGATGGAACCCGCCACAGCTGACGTTAGATACAATCAGAGACTGTGTGACGCAATTCTCGCAAATGAAGAATGTAAATGCATTAAAACCGAGAATCGCCGCCATGACACGAACGGTTAAGAGGAGTGTGTAGGCGATACAGGAACACCTTCATGTAAATGTTAAATTATGGAGAAATGTAATATGAGTTGCCGCAGCATAGTGCTAGCTGACTCAACAGTAGTTAGAACTAAGAAAAAACGTTGAAACTGTGCGAACGAATGCGAATACAACTAGCGTAGGTCGAGTTAATTAATAAAACTAAATTATACAAGGCGTAATGAATAACACAACTAAGAACGCAACCGATGTAAGGGCCCCGCACACGGTGCGAAATTCGGCGGCGCACCAACGGCGCTGAGCTAACGCGCGCGCCATATGCTCACGTAAACCTAACCTGTATGATACAGGCGGTTCCGGTTCCCGCTTCACTACACTTCACACGCGATTACATCTGATTGGTTAACACAAACCACGTGACAAAATATGCAAATTATCTCCTGTACCGGCCTGAATATAGATAACCCCCAGTGATTTGGACGCTCGCCCGAAACTGGACGCTCCTAAGTGCGCATGGGAGCAGGCACCTCTTGTTTTGCAAAGACGGACACAGCGCATGCACAATATGCACAGTTGTCACCCTGCGGGTAGCATATGTTGGTGCAACACTCTGCCAAGGTACTGACGTCATACTGACGTCACTGCATGTACTGGCGTACCCTAACTTTATATACCCTAACCCTATAACCACTACAAAATTCATCATGATTATTTATAGGCCACAAATTTTATGTTTTAAGTAGTACATGCAGTGACGTCAGTATGACGTCAGTACCTCTGCAGAGTGTTGCACCAACATATGCTACCCCCGTCCTTGTGCAAACTGAAGGTTTGAGTTTATATATGCTGCGGCACGCTCCCCCTATTGGCCATTTTTACAAGACAGGGATAAATCATATCAGAATCACCTGGGAATTCGACTAATCTCAATTCGTGGGCAACAGTCACTGACTTGACACAGTGTTTGCTGGTAAACATGTCATGGTAACATTGTTGAAAACTTTTGGGATTTAAAAGCGCACGAAAAACTATAATAAAACGTAAATAACCCTAATTACCCCAATGACTACGCCCACCGCATGCCACTCACGATGTTTACTCGGTGACGTGGCCCTCCGAATTCCCATTGGTTGATAAAAATCACGTGCCTCAAACTCCTCAATGACGCCACAGTGTTGTCAAGGCACATCCATAACACAAAAACCCAATTCCTCAATAGCTGAACGCCTAGAGCAGAGACGACACGGCTGAAATGTCGTTGTATCGAATCCCATCTGTTTTTTCATTATTTTCCTGCTTTCTGTATTTTTCTATATTTATCCATATTTACATGATTTATTTACAACAATTTAATAACAACAAATAATTTTTTTGGGTTTATAGGGTTAGGGTTAGGGTCACAATGCACCATAAAACAGGAGTTTGAGGTACGTGATTTGTATCAACTAATGGGATTTGGGAGCTATGCAGGCCGTAGCTTCGTGTGTGTAACACAGCTGTATATTTCGCAGTCGTTGAATTTCTCTTGCGTTTCGCGTGATTGACGGAGCAGTTCTTCAGTGATTCTCATGCAATAGCGATGTTTCATGTTTATAATACCAAGAGCTAATAATACCTTAAATACGAAAGGCCGGCGCACGGCTCAATAGCTGCCAGAGCATGATAATTTCGTAGGACGTTCCCGCGGTCGCGTGCGCCTTGCCGCGGAACTGCGCGCAAGATCCGCGCTTAGCGGGCAGGATCAACACCTCTCAGGCGACGCTTCACTGGTATCCGGTCTCTCATCTGGATCTTGCAATGAAAGCGCGTTGTATCTCCAGGGAAGAGGGAAGATAAGCGCACATCAATTTATCATCGCTGGGATTCCACGACCGACGACGCTCGACGAGTTCATAATGAGAAGCTTCGGCTTTGAGCAGATACCCGGTGGAGCGTTTGCCGGCTTAACCATCCTTCAGATACGCCTGCTCAACGGTGGAAAGCTGACCATTATACACGCAGACGCGTTCGCTGGAATCGGAGGACTCCATTCCTTGATCGTAGAGAAGACGGCGTTGTCCGCATTTCCATGCCAGATTTTCCCAACTATGCCAGGCTTGCGTATGTTTTCTGTTTTCTTCCGCCTATGCCAGGCTTGAGTATATTTGTATCCGTCTATGCCAGACTTTTACGCTTTCATGGTGTCATGAGCGTTCGCACTGCGCTCGATTCTAATTTGCCGTCCTCCCTTTGTTTTCAGACTATCTGGCTATAAGATACAGCTCCATTGAGAAATTAGACGGTTGCTTGATGGACGCTAGCAATCTGACTGAGATACGTTTGAACAATAACGCGATTGTGTACATCTCCCCTCAGGCGCTGCGGGGTCTCAAGAAACTCAAGGTAAATCCTATCCCTAAAGTCCTGCTGTGGATATGTACCCGATAGAGACAGTGGATATCTATATCCCATATATATACATGTGCGTGCGTGTGCGTGCGTGCGTGCGTGCGTGTTGTGTGTGTGCGTGTGTGTGCGTGTGTGCGTTTGAGTTCGTGCGTGCGGGCGTGTGCGCGTGCGTGCGTGCGTGCGTGCAGGCGTGTGCTTGAGTGAGTGGGCTAAGTGGGTGCATACGTACGTGCGTATGTATGCATTTATTTGTTTTTTATTTAATTTTTAATTATTGATTGTTTTTATTTATTTATTTATTCATTTATTTATTTACGCTTCCACAGTTCCTCGTTTTGTCGCATAATGCCATCGAGTATATTGCACCGGGAACATTCAAAGATCTAGATGAAATCGACGTTATATACCTCGACTACAACCATCTGTACACGGTCTCAGCGGGAACCTTTGCCGGGCTCGAGAAGCTTGGTGTCATACAACTTGATCACAACCGGATTTCGAGCGTTGCTGTTGGAGCCTTTGAGGGTGCAGCGGCAGCATATATATTGCGCCTTCAGAACAACAACCTCGTCAACATCGCAGCTGGCACATTCAGAGGACTGACTAGCGTGAATGTACGTTCAGACACCCGTAGTCAAGTCAGTGATACGTGGTATTGTAAGAGCGTAAACACAGCCGAAAGCATTATGGATTCTTTGTAGATGCTTATTATCAAGAGCGTATAAAGAAGACCTTCTTTAAGAAAGAATACCTTTTTTATAAAGAAGACCTTCTTTATTGTTATTATTCGAGTTACTGCCGTGGTTGTGTGTCGAAAATAGTCTAGTAGCGTCACCACATCGACTTAGTCATTAATCTTATATATTCCATATTGTTTGCATGTGTATTATATTGCACCATTTTGTCGATCAAATCATTGTTAATTTGTTATTACATTTTCACATCAGGAAATTTATATGAATGATAATGAGATAAGCTTCATCGAACCTGGCAGTTTCCATGGATTGCCAATGATCAACTATATCCATTTGACGAACAACGAGCGCTTGACATCTATCGACAAAGACGTGTTTAATCTGACTGAACTCACAGCATATATGGTAACCCTTTACCTAGGAGGCAAGTGTGATCGTTCTTTGTTATTAAAATTTTGTTTATATATTAAATGTGGTTTGTTTTGTCACACTTCGTGTATTAATTGTACATTTATACGCGTGCACGTATCGTCACGTACGGAACAATCGTCCGCAGCGAAAGACTACGTGGGTGGAACTACCTGTAAAGCTGCATGCTATGTGCATTCTGCGAGCTTGAAAAGCTCACACTTACACTGTAATTTNTCTCTCGCACTCTGTCTTTCTTTCTCTCAGTAGTTCATTAACATTTTCATGCCTTAACACAGTTGATGCAAAAAGGATTATTGGTGCTGGAGGCTTCTACATCAATTATCAACGAGTGACATCACCTGAGTATGTGCTGATACAGGGACAGCACATTCTGCCAAACAACACCACACTGGTGCGAGTAGGTGAGCGCACACATTCTTCTGCTTCCTGCTATAGGACAGGGCCCTTGCTGGGACGTACGTGGTTGCACACAACACTGAGTGTCGTCACTGCCTGGGTGTTTTACACCCTCAGTAGTTCTTCTACGTCCCGATTACCGGAGACTCGCAGTGATACAAGCCTGAATGAATGTTATGTTGTATGAAAGAAGCTTCACGTTCATTCAGGATATTCTCCGTTTCCTATCTTAATGTAGACATGCTTTTATTGTTACACAGGGAAGAAGAATTATTATGTTGTTCGATGGGTGAACATGTGAAGTGTTCGAATCTTCCGGTAAGACAGATGTGAGCTGTCATACCTACGGCAAAAAGATCGACATGCAGCACGCAAGCTTTCCTGAGCGCGATCAAGAATAGAACTGCATAACTCTGACGTTTTCAATAGACTATTCACGCAATAAAATAGAAAAGGCTTGCCTTTGGTTAGTGTATAATGTAACTGTAGATGGACTGCAATAATTGATAATGATGTAGTTCAATCACATCAAGTTACTCATGGTACATCTATTGTCAGATATCCCTGGATTATCAACATGCAGTTATTACAGTCAACGCTGTCTGTTATGACTTATACTTGTTATCCAGCTGTCAACGCTTTGCTCAATATCATAAAATATAGTGTTATTGATCCGTAATAAAATGTGTTTGAAACGCATTTCTGAGTGTTGTAGAAATACTACTGGCATAGCTGCGCATTGCCTGTCTGGAATGGGGAGTAGTAGAAACTCTATTAATAGAAATCTCTCTATTTTGGGCTAATGCTCCATTAGGAGTGTTCCCAACTTTGATATCATTAATGATTAATGATTGATAATCCTAACCCTAACGCTAACCCTAACCCTAACTTAACCTATAACATAACCCTATAACCATTAATGACATTAAAGTCCACTCCTAATGGAGTATCACCCCTATTTTGAGCTCAGTGATGCTGCTCTGTGCTACTCACTTCTCAGCATCGTCGAGTGTTTAAGATGGCCATAATACATTACGAAAGGAGTATTAGAAACCAGTAGTTGAGATCTCTGGTGGCCTTGTGCTGCAATAATTATGCTTATCAAAGCGCATATGTGTCTGTTTGAGGTAGAGATACATAGATGATTGAGAAATTATCAATATATATATATATGGCTTTAAATACCTGATTAAAATGTATTTCCTTGCCTATCCAGTTAACATGTACACAATCATGAAAATTATGGACAAGATATAATGATTTACACCGACTTGAATATTAGCCAAGTGAATGAGGCGTGTTTCACGGAAGTATATGTTGGCAGTCGTGGCGACTGACTAGAAATCAGTTGGGGGTCTCCCCGCACAGGTTCGAGTACTGTCGACTGCGATATTTTTGATCAATAACGCAATAATTACGTTCTTTCTAAGTTCAAGATTTTTACATTTTCTTATTGCAACATTTTGTTTGTCACATAATTTTTAACGCGAAATATTGTCCTCGTAAGTACAATGTCTCACCCCTACCGCACGATCTACTCTAGCTTATCTAATTAAATGACACAAATTCTAAATGGATCATCTAACCAGATATACTACGTCGCCCTGTTTAGTGTGAAAACTTTTGTGCGACGTGTTCAAAACTGCAACACAGAACGAACATTTTTAGGTTTTGAGAGGTCTAATCATTTCCCAGAAATATATAGAGTCTACTGGATTTGTTTCTATGGGTGTAACCAATCTCTTTTTGAGATTATTTACCCCTGATAATATATAGTGATAGATTTAGCTCCAAGAAACGGTATTGCTAGGGTTATAATACCCTAGACAATCCGTCGCACAGCCTGGTCGGGCTATGATAGATTGTGCCTTGCCGTGCCGCGCCTTGTCACAAGCAAAACTAAGTGCGTATATAATTATAATGTAGTATTATAATAGCCGTAATATTGCTACGTCTATAATCGAACAAATGACAGCTGCATATGTCTCGATCAGTTCACATATAGAGTTACGATAATAAAAAAACGCGCGCGCGTGTGTGTGTTTAAAAAGAAATATATAGAGTCTACTATATTGTTTCTATGGGTGTAACCAATCTCTCTTTGAGATTATTTACCCCTGATAATATATAGTGATAGATTGTGCCTTGCCGTGCCGCGCCTTGTCACAAGCAAAACTAAGTGCATATATAATTATAATGTAGTAATATAGTAGCAGTAATATTGCTACGTCTATAATCGAACAAATGACAGCTGCATATGTCTCAGTTCACATATAGAGTTACGATAAGAAAAAAACGCGCGCGCGTGTGTGTGTGTTTAAAAAGCCCCCCCCCCTCCGCCGCATATGATGCGAATTCGGCGCGCACCAAATGCGC